AATAATATGATATCATATATCATAGAATTGTAGAATTGTTTGGATCGGATGAGATCCTTAAGGGTTACCTGGTCCAACTCCCCTGCAATGAACAGGGACACCTACCAGGCTCCATCACGTTGCTCAGAGCCTCGTCTAACCTGACTTTGAGTGTCTCCAGGGATGGAACATTCAGCACCTCTCTGGGCAGCCTGTGCCCATGCCTCACTGCCCTTATGGTGAAAAATGTCCTTGTATCCAATCTAAATTTCCCCCCTCTTTTCATTTGAAACCATTTCCCCTTGTCCTGTCACAAAAGACTGTGCTGAAGAGTCTGTCCCCTTCTTTCTTATGGCCTCCCTTTAGATCTCAGTACATATAGCTGATTTTTAGCCTGAGCAGCACAGACTTTCTCCATGCAATCCTCAGCACATCATCTCCTGCCTCACCTTCGCGTGCAGCGCAGACAGCATCCATGTAACCCACGTTCGTGTTAGGCAGGGCGGAGCTGCCCTCTGCTGTCTCTGCTCTGCACAGCTGCCTGTTTGTAACTCAGATTAAAGCCCAGCCAGGGCACGCTGATCCGCTTCCAACAGGGCTGTTTGGAACCCAGTCCCTCTCCTCTAGTCATGAAGGCACACGGAGATGGCACTTGGCTGCCCGGTGCCTCCCCAGCTCAGCCACAGTCATACGACCACGGAGAAAATCCATTTGGAGCTGTGATGCATGGAGGGGTGAGAGGCACCTGGCCTGGCTTTCCCAGTGCTTCAGTGCCCCTGCACTCTGCTGGTGCTTCGGGGTTTGCTGGTGGCTGCATGCTCGCTTTCAGACCTTCTTCTTAGAGCTTCTTCTTAGAGCTGGCTGAGGGCTGGTTTGTTGGGATATGAAGCCCTTGAATAAGTCCCCTGACTAGAATTATTTTGAAAAGGACGCATACAGATTGCTGTGCGCAATGCCAGGAGGAGGCTGTGCAGGGACAGCTCTGGAAACGTGGTTTTCATTTACCCCCAAAGGATGCCCACATTGGGAAGGCATTGGAAGGAAAAAAAGCCCATGCTGTAGGTGTGTGATAGGTGTGCAGGGCTCCCTGGGTGGGATGTTCACAAAATCCAATGGCCACCTCAGGCCCACCATGGTGTGTGGTGATTCCTCTGTGTGTGTAACTTCTACCAGAACTCGTCTCCCTTCTGTTTCTCTCTGCAGTGGCTCCCAGCAGGCTCAGCTCTCACTGAAGCAATGTCATCCATCCTACTTCGCTTCCCTGTTGCCTCTGCTGATGCCTTGAATTTGGTGCTGTTGTGGGATGCTGCTCCCCGCCCTACACTGGGACTGGAGAAGGCAGCAGCTTGCTGAGTGTGGGGTGGGCAAAGTCACACCTTCTCCAAACATTTCTCATTCCCAAGCAGCATCCCCACACCTGGAGCCACCTGTAGGGCATCAACAGTAAAAACCAGAGGGAACCCTGGGGGTGCTACTGGGGAAGCATAAAAGCTTTATTTCCATTGCTCGTCTTGGGCCAAAACCAATGACTTAAACCCAAACCCATTATGCTCACTAATATCAGATGTCTTTTGGTTGGACAGATGCAACCTTTATGAATCTTTAGGGATGTGGTTTAGTGAGCATGGTAGTGCTGGGGTGACAGTTGGACTGGAGGGTTGCAGAGCTTTTTTCCAACTTTAATGGTTCTCCAGTTCTATGAACACCTTGGTGTCATTTCTGGGAATGGGAAAAATGCTGTGTTGTTGAGGCATTGAATTTTATCCACTGGAGTGAATAAAAATAACACTTCCGGGGCACCTTGGAATGGATATATTAAAAGCAGGTGCTGCTTTCAGGAAATTGCAGATGGAATGGTTCAACTTTAAATGTGTCAAACATAACTAGCAATGCAGCAGAGTTTTAATTAAAAGTGCCTGGAAGTAGTTAATTATTTTAACAATTCAAGCAGGAGATAGAAATGAGGTTCCCATCCTTTATAAATCACTGTGCTTCTCTGTTAGCAGGATTAGCTATTCAGGGATGGCCTCTATTTCAGAGAACACAGGTATCAGCTCAGGTCTAGGCTGGCAAAAAGCCATGGAAAAGAGAATCGTTTCAGCCACAGTCAGCCACCAGAGCCCAGATGAGGGTTGTGCTCCTGCTCCCAGGTTGACACCAGGGCATCCCAGTCTGCCCCCAGTGCTGTGAGGTGCTGCAGTGGCAGGACCTACTCTCACCCCAGCACAAGCCCTGTGCATCCCTTCTGCCCTGGCTCTGATGCAGGACAACCCCTGGGGGGAGGAAACCAGATCCTGAGGTCTGTTTGGAGGGATTGGATACCAGCATTTTTCTCTGTGGAGAGCAGGTCTTTGGGGCAGAATCCTTTTAAGAAGAAACGCTTATTGCCATCTCCTGCCTAATGGACCTCCAGCAGCTGTAGCCGTGCTGTAGTCCCTAGGATGGATGGCCGGTGGCAGGGGCAAGGCAGGAGGCTACACAGTGCCCTGATATGGACATGGAATCATAGAATGACTTGGGCTGGAAGGAACCTTAAAGGTCACCCAGCCCCAAGCCCTGCTGTGGGCTGGCTGCCCTCCACCAGCTCAGGCCACCAGGTCCAATCCAGCCTGGCCTTGAGTACCTCCAGGGATGGGATATCCACAGCCCTCTGGGCATCTGTGCCAGGCTCAGCCTCAATGCTACTATTTATGCATCTGCTATCGCATTCTCATTTGTAGGAGTGGATATCTGCAGGCATTTCCCTCCCGCCCTCCATGGGGAGGCACTGACACACATAGCATGAAGTTCTCTGGTCACACCAGTTTTTTCTCTCTGCTACAATTTCTCAAAGCCTCACTCTTTTGGCTCTTTGCTCATGCTAGCAGTGATGTGTAATGCTGCAGATCCCACTATGTGCATAATTACCAACATAGGCGCCTGTGCCAACCTAGCAAATTAGAGGACAGGCAGCACATGGCAACCTCTAATTGCAGCAACAGCCTGGGTGCTGGGTGCAGGTACTGCTGCTGTAGAGCACAGCCCTGAAGGAGCAGGAGGAGATGTGCTGTCTATGGCCAGGGCTTGCTCCGTGGTGGTTTTCCTTTTATTTTCTCATGTTTGTGTTAGTTTGGCTGGGTGAGCATGTGCTCAAGATCCATTGCTACAACACAGACAGAACAGGATCTCTGCCAGCACACCTGGAAATGACAGCCCATCTCCCCCTGCCCAGCAGGAGCATCCCTGCCCAGGGGTGCTCAGGGGGGACGTGTATTCCTGCTGGCCACCCACAGGTACCAGGAGCCCCCAGGGAAGGCAGGGGCAGCCCCTGGGGCGTTCTGCTCCAGAGCGTGTTGGAAAATCTGTCTGCGGACACACTTGGCACATCCTGCTGTGTCAGGGCAATTTTCTCAGTCATTCAGCCCGCATTTCTCCTTTCTTAATTTCATTCTTAATGTTCTTTGCCTAAGCCCCAGGGGCAGTAAATAGCAGGCAGGTTAGCAGGAATAGCTGAGCAGCTGTAATGAGATTTGTGCTCAGGACGGCTTGCCTCGCTGCTCACTGCATCGTGCTGCTGCTGGCTGAGTCAGCATCCCCAGGGACGTGCTGCTGGCTCAGGTCTTCCCCCTGGATTTATTTTTAGTTCTTTCCAATCAGGACCAATTAGCTCCATACGCCTCTCCCTGTGTTTCTGCATTTCACCTGGGGCGGGCTGTAGGATGTTCAGGTCCTTCTGTCCCTCAGTTACAGACAGTCCTCATGGTGACGTGGTTTTCTGTGGTGTTTCTGAGTGCAGGAGATGGGTGGTGATGTGTTCGTTTTGGCATCCGCTTCTCAAAGACACAGAAGTGCTCTTGGGCATCTTGCTGCTCCTTTCTGCTGAAAGATAGGCTCCAACTTATTCTTCCCCGAGCTTTATCAGATTCCTTTAGGAATCATTTAATCTTCACTTTCTTCCTGCACTACTCTTTGCCCCCCGAAAGCCTTTTACTGGACCCCAAAGCATGTAAAACACACCTGTGGTGCCATGCTTTGAGAAAGCACTGCTCTGGCAGGGAATGACACAGCCCTCTTGTTATTTCAGGAACTTTGAAACAGGAAAACCACAGACAACAGCAGTGGGGCACAGCGGGGCCCCAAGCCCAGGCCAGCTCTAACAAATCCACCTATGGGAACAGATTGAGATGGGGATGGGCACAGGAATGGGATGGGGATGGGATGGGGATAAGGATGGAGATAAGGATGGATGTAGGAATGATGAGGAATCATAGAACAGAATCATAGAATCATTAAGGTTGGAAAAGACCTGCAACGTCATATAGCCCAATTATCATCCCTTCCCCACCATGCACACTAAGCACGTCCCTAAATGCAACATCCACAGAGTTCTTGAACACCTCTAATGATGGTGACTCCAGCACCTCCCTTGGCAGCCTGTGCCACTGCCTCACCACTCTTTCAGAGGGAAAATTTTTCTTAATATCCAACCCGAATCTCCCCTGGATCAACTTAAGGCCATTATGTCTCATTCTATTGCTTTTACCTGGGAGAAGAGGCCAACCCCCACCTCACCACAGCCTCCCGTTAGAGCAATAAGGTCTTTCTTGAACCTCCCCTTCTCCATACTGAACAATCCCAGCTCCCTCAGCTGCGCCCCATCAGACTTGTGCTCCAGACCCCTCACAGCTTCCTTGCACTTCTCTGGACATGTTTCAGGACTTCAGTGTCTTTCTTGTGGTGAGAGGCCCAAAAATGTACACAGCACTCAAGCTGCAGCTTCATCAGAGCATAGTACAGGGCATCAGAGAGAGCATAGTACAGGGCACCTCTCTGCTCCTGCTGGCTGCAGTATTTCTGATACAAGCCAAGATGCCATTGGCCTCCTTGGCCATCTGGGCACACTGCTGGCTCGTGTTCAGCCTGCTGTCAGCTGACACTCCCAGATCCTTCTCCTCTGTGTAGCTTTCCGGGCACTTTGCCCCAAGCCCTTGGTGATGCATGGAGTTGTTGTGATCAAAGTGCAGGATCTGGCACTTGGCCTTGTTAAGATTGCTTCAGCCTGTCCAGATCCCTCTGCAGCACCTTTCTACCCTCAAGAAGATTGATACTTCCTCACAGCTTAGTATCATTTGCAAACTTACTGAGGGTACTCAACTGATGGAGTTGGGATATGTTTGGATATGGGGGTGGGCGTGTGGATGGGGATGGGAATAGTGATAGGATATGGATGGGAAGAGGGAGAGGATAGTCCCTATGACACCAACCCAACCACAGTGAGGAGGTTTCTGTTCACAAAGCTGTGGTGTGGCTGAGTTCTCATGGTGGTGTTTGCCAATGGGGAGGTTTGCTCTATAAACGACCATGAATAATAATGGGCGCAATAATATCGTCAGGCAGAAATCCACTTCTCCTCTGGCTCTTCTTGGCCTCCTGTTGACCTTCTAAATAAAGGGAACCTTTCATCACCTGAACTGCAGGCATGCTGATGGAGAGCAGGATGGTTTGTTTAAAGAGAATTGTGGAGGAGAAATCTTCACGCGTTATGAAATGTTGTTTATTCAACATATTCCCTGCTGTTACAGAAGTTTTTCACTTGGCAGTGTGCTTCAGCACAGCTCAGCTTTGAATTTGTTTGTTTGTTTTTTTTTTTACTAGAGCTCTGAGATTTGTTTTAAGATGTTGGAAGATTTTTTGGGCTGTGATATGTAGCAATACATGAAAGAGTCCTTCTGGGGTTTCTGTTGACTAGGAGTGTAGGGGCCAAACTCCAATGGATGTGGTCCCTTACAGGTCTATGCCTTTGCCCCAGTGTATTTCCAGCCTCTTCCCATTATGTTTATCACCTCTGAAAACAACCACAGCATTTGAATCAGTCTGTTTGCAAGGTAATTGATGTTATCAGATGCGTGTGTGTCAGAGGAATTTGTCCTAGAGCAATTAGGTCGGTTGTTTGTCTTCCATGAGATCTCCGTGATTTATATAAATTGCAGTAAATATAGGCTTGGCCTCTTATTAGTCAGGCTGTGACTGGTCCAACTGGGCTGATAAAGAGCTCTAGGGTTTAATGACTCTGCACATTTTCTCGTAGGCGAGTTCCTCTTTCTGCTGCCTGTGTGCGTGTGGTGATGGTCACGCGTGGTCCTCATCAAGTCCTGTGCAGTGCTGCTGGTCTCAGACACTCTGGAGTCCTGAGTTCCTGGGCAGGTTTGTCCTCCATGGCAGGTTGCAACCATGCATTGTGAAGGTCTCCTGGGCTGGCCAAAGTTGTCCCTTCCTGCCATGGGGAGACCCAGCTCACAGCTGCTCAACGGCCTCTGGTTTCGCCATCTCTGTGGTTACAAGAAATGGGAACCAACCAAAAATGAAGCAGTACTAGAGAGTCCTGCCATCCTAAGGGCTGTGGACAGCTCATGAGCATGCCACGTTCATTGCTTTGCAGAGCAACCTCCACCCAGCAGCAATAATGACACTTCCTGTCTTAACGATTTCCTTCCTTCATGCCCTCCCTCGTGCCCCCAGCCTGCAGTGCCCCACATCACCCACCTGTGATGACCATGGACACGCTGCAGCGATGCCCACGGATGGGTGTGCCACTGGCTGAGCTGGGGCACTGACCTACATGTGTCACCTTGGCTTTCCCAGGAAAATACTACTGTTTAAGCAAATCTGGTGACTGTCACCACAGTGAGATGTCACAGAATAGCCAATGTGTGTCAGTAACTCCTCAGGTTGAGCTGCTGTTGTCTGATACTCGCTAGGTCCATTAACCAGAAGAATTACTGTGTCCAAGAAGATACGACTTGGTCATGGCCAAGATGTAGATGTTTTATTGAATATTTCTGTTGGTGGTGCTCGTGTATCTTCGTGATAAGATTAAAAAAAGACAATTTAAAAAGATAATTTTAGGCATCCTAAAACTCCTAAGAGTTGAGAGATTGCATAAATAAACAGAAGAGAAAATTCTAATTCTTTCTGAAACACAACTGTGAAACAACAAGCAGCAGATGACTGCAGAGAGGAAAGAAAGGGGGACCTAAAGCAGTGACTCCCAGGGCTTGTTCTGGGCTTCTTCAGAGGTGATGCTCTGATTTCCATTTCCTGATCTCATGCACTGCTCCCAGGTATAGTCCCAAGTCCTATGCTGGGTATGCTGAGGCCAGCTGGGGACAGGACAGCAAATCTCAGCATTTCTTGCTGTGACTGCCAAATGTGAGTATTTACTATCTGATGTTTAATCAAATAGAAACATGCATAAATGTAATTATAGTAATAATGATAATAAAAAAAAAAAAAAAAACAAACCTAAGTGACAGAGCAGAAGAGCACACCAAATTAGTCTGAAATTAGTCAGACTGTCAAAAATGAGAAAAATGCTAGATGTCAGTGGAGCCCGAATTCCCACCCACTCAGTGCTGACACGTTTTGACAGTCTTTAATTGTGCCGTGACACACCAGCTCATCTGTGGGGTTGGGGTGGGGATGTCCTGGAGGAGGGAGATGGCAGGAGAGGAGGCTTCAGCCTGGTGTCCTTAGCCAGCTTGGGGCTGTGTCTGAGACCTTCATCGCTTTGCTTGCCCACTTTCTGGGCTGTGTGTCCCCCAGGTGATCCCTGCTCAGGCTTTACAATGGTTAATTTCCTCCCAGGTGTTTCTCCAATGCTGTCATTGTGGTTACTGAGCAATCTGCAGCCACTAAGGAAGCCACCTTCCCTGTCCCTTGCAAGCCGCTCCTCTCAGTGCTATAATAGGGATTTTGGACACCAAGAAGAGGACTGTGGCTGCTGCTCAGTTTGGGACACACAGAGCATGACTTTTTTGGTGTGAGGAGCATGTGTGATCGCAGCTGTGTGTTTGAGAAATGGGGAGGCCAAGTCACTTTAGGTTGATGGGCTGGTGGCATCACTTAGAAATGTCACAACTTCAGCAGGGTTAGAGCTGTTTCTTTGGGGTGTTGGCTCCCTTTGGTCACTCTTCCCCTTCCAGCCCCACTCAGCCCCCTCCTTCCCTTTCTGACTGCATCAAGCAGACAGGAGCTTTAGCCATATGCAGCCCAGGGACATTTCCTGAGCACTACTTGTCCTCTCACGGATGGGAGCAGGGTCCCAGCAGAACTCCAGTGTATGACCATGTCGTTACTGTTTCTAAAGTACAGATTAGATGAAAGCTGCACAAGCAACTTTACTTGTGAGCCAGTGCAGTACTGCTAAGTGATATATGTGACTGCCTGCAGAGAGAGACTATGGCATATACCCTGATAGCAGAAACATGTTCTAAAAGATGAAAGTAGTGGTTTAAAATGCTGATGTATCAGGTTTTGGGGGGACTTCAATTTCTTGTTATTTCCTGTCTGCTTTGACCCGTCTAAATCTAGCTTCTCAGGTTTTAAACTGCAGATAGGCCCTGCTTACAGGGAGATCCAAGCCTTAAAAGTGTTCATTAAAATCATGACTGCTTTGGGGGAAAGACTCTTTGTGATCCTCGTTGCCCGAGCAAAGATACCAACCTTCATCAGGCTTTACAAAGCAGGGAGAAACTGCAGCATCTGCCCTGTCACCACTCTTCCATGGTGGTGATTTCATGGTGTGCCTCAGTAAACCATTAATTTAGCAGGACTATTATAGGCTGGGTAATGATAGCTTACTGCCTGGTGACAGGGGTCCTTCTGCACGACAACTTTCTTGCAGAGGTGTGATGGCCACAGGCAGGTTGTGGAGATGTAGCTTTTCCAAAGCTGATGGATAACCCCTGCTGAAAGCCAGCAGGCCTAACCAACCACAGCTTTAGACCATCCTGATAGCAGGCACCTGAATGGATCCCTGCTACAATCCCAGATGGAGATGGGCACTGTTGGGCAGGCCACGTGCTGCCCCTCTGCTGCCAATGCCATCAGCTTGTGCTGTGCTGCCAGAGGACACCCCACTGCCTGGTGTGGGGTATTCTTGGCCAATACACTCAACACACATATTGAGAGTCTTATCAAGATGATGAAGGCATCATGTGAATCCACCTGCTTTAAAAACAGGATATTTGCCTACCCTTGGGTCAGCCCAGAGGATCTCCACTGTCATCCAGGACCACCACTGTCTTGTGGTAGGGTCTCCCACTGGCTCTACAGCCATGGATGAAGGGCTGTTTGGGGATTTTTGCTTCCCCTAGCAGCAAACCTACCCCTGGGGCATCCTAGGAGACACACGCCTCTCCTTTCCTTCTCCATACATTATTGATTCCAAGCTTATGCAGGGAACGAATTCTGATATTCCTTCAATACATTTTTGGCAACACTGATGTCCTTAGAAAGTGAGTGGCACCCTTAGCAACTTTTTCAGTACCTGATTTAACCATAACTGCCTCCAGCAAGGCAGTCTTTTCTCTTGACCTGTCAACACTCAAGGGTTCAACAGCACATTAATCCAACACGAGGGGTTCTCACACAGAGTCTGAAGTTCTGTGGCCTTCTCAGGTCATGAAATTCAGTGTAAGCTTACTCCATTGTCTGCAATCTGTTTGAAGCATCAGAGGATCCTTCTGCTGGGTCAGTTGCTATGTGTGGGTGCAACTCTACCTGTGCAACAGAGGCAGTTTTGTCTGTCCACCTACATCCAGCATGAATGTCACCACAGTCTTTGCGAGGCTACAAGGCACAGTGTGACAGCTGTGTGGTGATGTTGGGAAATGATCCAGGGCTCTGCCAGTCATGACAGTAAGCAAAATAAGGATCAAAACGAGAAATGAAATATGGAGGGATTTTCCTGCCTCGAGCAGAGGCTGAAAGAGGAAGCAGCTGTGGCTGATGCTGGTGTCAACGCTTTCAGCTGTGGGCTGGCCTGCTGGTCAAATGTCCTGCAAACTCTTCTTCTGAAGAGTTCTTCTGAAATTACAAGCTTACAATTAGCTTTTGCTGCTGTGGCCTGGCAGGTATGTACCCATATCTCCCCATGTGCACCCCAGCAGTGCCTGGCCAGGATCCAGCTCCTCTTTCTCAGCATTTACCAGCAAAGCGGTATAGTTGAGCTTTCATCTGCACCCAGAACACTTATGGAAAGCTGACAGGGGATATTGTGGGTGAGAAGAGGTGTTCTGGGGTCTCTCCCTGCACACCATATTGCAGCTGCTCTCGGGTGTTTCCTTCTCTTTGCCTGTTTGAACCTGAGCCATCATCCCTGTGCTCTGCAGCTCTGTCCTGCTCCCCCAGAGCTGCAGCCCTGGTAGGACACGTTTTTCAGAAACATGTGCTCTTCATAATGAAGCACGCAGTGAAATAAACAGGAAACCCTGCCACGAGACACCTCTGGCTCATCATCATGCTTTGTCATAGCCATTGCCCCAAATTGGGGGAGCAGGAAGGTTGGGGGATATGTACTGGGGGGCCATGCAGAGGGCTGGCAGTTGCACATCCCTAAAACACATGCTAGCACAAGTTAGATGCCTAGCAAGTTCAAAAGACAAAGTTTGGCTTGCCAGACTGTTCCCTCTATTCACAGCCTAGTAATAGATGCTAATCTGAGTTGTGTCTACTGTTAGTGGATGGGTTCCAGAATGGTAGGAGATGTGATGATAAAAGAGCCTACATTTTAATAACTAATTAAACAGGCTGTATCAGCCAGGGACCGCTGCTGTGCAACTGAGTACAAAACCTAACAGAAATAGTGGCAGCTCTGCCTGAAGCCTTAGCAATGCGTGAACCATAGAGCAAAAAACTCTACCCCTTAGAAGAAGGTCAGGAAAAGCTGACAGCCCTCTTCCAAATCCGGTCTAAACTGGGAAATAAAAAACGCTGAATTTGACTCCTTTTTGTGATGTTGCAGTTTACTAAAGCACATCGTTCCTCCCTGCAGGCACTGCAATAAGTCCTTCAGCTGCAAGTGCTCAGAGTGACTTTACCCTCCTCCCTGTGCCTTTCTCTGCTCTCAGCCCGGTTATCTGACCATGCAGCCTTTGCAGCCTGTTGGCACTCATGGGCCATACTTACTCCAGGGAAGAGGCAGAGATAAAAACGACCCTCCCTGGGCTTGGTATTTATTTAGAGGAACACACTGTGTGTGCTGTGCTTGTCTCCATGAGGAACTGGTAATGTTCGGTGCCTTTTCCTTACACGCTGGTGGTTAACTGAGCTCTGGTGTATGCATGCGTTAAATAACTGAGCTGCTGTGCCCTGAATCTGGTCTCACATTGACTTCAGGCTGTGGAACCTATAACCCTTCTGCTGATTCATGGTCACGAGCAGGAGCCTGAATCTGGACCCTGACCCACTGAGAGTTGCCCTTGGATCCTTGACACGTGCTTGGAAGGAGACCTTATCCCTTTTGTGCATTGCTGAGCCACCTGGCTGAGCAAACAGCCCTTGGGAAGGAAAAAATGCCTCTGAAAGCCACCAGCACCCTCCCTGCTGGTCCCAGCAGCACCATGTTGTGGGGACCAGGACAGCTGAGCTGGGAGGGATCTGTGTGTGAGGATGAGTCACTGGGCTCCTCCACTCTCCTCAG